AGAGAATATTAGAAGCTCTGCAGACCCAGGGAAGCCTGGTGACGCGACGGCCCTGCCTTATCAGATCCTGTTAAGTGAAATGAGGCACCCTTGTTGAACAGAGCCATCGCCCTTATAAGATTATCTTATTTGCTCTCTCTCTCTCTTTGCATTTGCTTATTTCGTGCCGACACAGAGGAAAAGAATGACTTCCCAGCATATTTTTAAGTACAAATGAAAATAGATTGGATTCATAACTATGCATTTGTGTACTTTGCTCCTTGCTTCATTGAAGGCTTTATGATTATAAACGTGCAGATCCTCCCGAAGATAAATGGTTCAGGGAATAGAAAAGCAAAGGGATGCTTTTAGCTAAAGAATGGCTGGATCTGTGAAACCTCGGGTCATTGACCCAAGAGGACCCAGCTAGGATCCAGTAAATCTGAGAGCTCACTTGATTTCACCAGGCTGCTTCTCCACCCAGGAGAGCATATTGCATAGAGAAAGTCCTTGGAATCACATTTCTACTGCTTGTTAATGGTGTGACTGTGGGCAAATTATTCCAGCCACTTTCCACCTCAGATTCTGCATCTGTAAAATGGGAATAATAATGGCATCAACCTATTAGACCTCCACATATTCTGAAAATTCAATGAGCTGAGATAAAGCACATGGAAAGCTTAGAACAGTGTCTGGTGCATAATCCGTGTTCCTGAATGTTAGCAGTTATTATTAATAATTAGCAGAAACATCTTACATTAAATACAATGGCATAAAGAATCATAGTGATATGGACAATTTCACTGGCCCTTATCTGGATTTTACATTCCTTCTGTTACTTTAGACTTGAAGTTTACAGGCGGTCCTGATTTATGGAGACCAAAGCTTCAAATTCTTATTTGATGAATTAAGCCAAAAAACCTCTTCTTTTAGCCATTCCTAAGAAACAGGTGATAGAATTTTAAAAACCTTGTTTTGTTTTTTTTTTGGTTTTTTTAGCTGAGCCATCCTGCCACCTGTTGGCAGCTTAGCAGCAGCTCACCTCGGGCCGGGAATCGAACCAGCGACCCTGTTGCTCAGAGCTCACGCTCTTGAGCGAGCTCTTAACTAACTGAGCCACTGGGCCAGCTCTAAAAATCTTGGTTTTGAAATGAGCCCACGCCTAGGATTGAATCCTGCTTACTATGCCTGTGGTATGGAGTTACTCAAGATGCTTTAACATCTGCAATCCTCATTGTCCCCATCTGTAGAGAGTGTGTAATAATACCCTCAAAAGAGATCATTAGGATTAGAGATAAAATATGTTAAGTATCCTAAATATTACTCCTGGAACCTTAGGTCCATTTATTCTACAAACTTTACCTGAACAGCTGCTAAAGTTTAGGAATTGTGTGAAGCGTGCAGTTACACAAATGACTAAGCATGACCCCAGAAAGTGTTGGCAGGGAGGAAGGCACACCGTGTGATAACTCTAGAAAAGGGCAGGTATTAGGGAAGGCTTCCTGGAGGAGGAAACATTTGAGTTGAGTCTTGAAGAAAGAAGAAAGGGGTTGGCTCAAAGAAGAAGGAAAGGGTTTTCTATTCAAAGGCAGAACATGGGAACCATTTGAAATAGGAAGAGTGAATGTTACTGCCTTGCAAACACCCCTCAATGTGTTCACATCATAATTGGGGAAAAACGGAAATATGTTGATGGGATCTCAGGGTATCGTGAACAAATTGAATTGTAGCAAAGCACGTGCTTCACTGTAGGGAAATAACAAGCATTTCCTCCTGAAGAAGGGGGGCACGGGAAAGGTCAAAGGTCTCCAAAGAGGAACGTTTCCTAGTGGCAGAGTCATTTTCTGGATCCTCCTGCTACAGTATGACCGCCAGGGGAGCCAATAGGGAAGCCTGACGTTCAGCTAGAGTTTAAACCCCAGACTAGGCTGGTCACTGAGTCCCCTTTCGCTGAAACCCATCCTGAATGAGGTGACACCCATGTTTCTTAAACTCCAGCAGCCTGCACCCATCCTGGGGAAGGCTGATCAGTGGGGAGCTTCCAGTGTTGCCAGTGAGAATCTTGTCCAGCAAATAGCAGAGGGTGTGTGCCGGGGGTGTGAGAAATTAGATCTCATATAGCTAATACGACCATTCGAATTCCTTACACTTCCCTTAAATCACTAAGGGATTGGGCCCACAGACGCTCAAAAGCTAGGAATTACCCCGTTTTAATTCCCTGTTCCTTCCCTGGGGTGCGGGTTTGGTTTGAGTGGCAGAAAGAGCACAGGGGTGGGTCGTCTAAACTTTGACCAAATATTTGGACCAGCTCGTTTCATTCCGGTTCGCTCTTCCGCTGTAAAAAGGCGTGTTTGACCGTAGGTTCGGCTCCGTGCAAACTGAACGTGCGTGTGCAGTGGAGCCTGTAAGAGTGAAATCAGAAAGAGGATAAAAGGCAGAGCTGGCATGCTTTCGGAGCTCCCATCGGCTTCATGCCATGCTTTCTCACAACCAGAGCTTTGGCTCAGGAGAGACTACAGAACTTGGGGGAAATCTGGAAAGAGTAGACTCAGTTACGTATTGAGGTTCAGATCGCGCCATGGGCAAAGATGCCTTTCTGGAGAGTTTCTAGTCCTGTGGTCAGAAAGGAAGCGGGTCTTCTTAATGTGATGCTGAAATGCTGGGTGGGGTAATCACTTGGGACTCACATCATTAGGGGTTATCCTTCTTACTCTAGAACAATCAAGGCTCCAGGGTGCCATGTTTAAAGACACTGAGGCAAGAGAAATCTATCAGGCCACAGTCCATGGGACTGCCAGGTTCTCTTATTCCCATTTCTACTTTTATAAATATATTTTAAAAACCCACAAAACCACAAGAATCTAAACAGTAGAGTTTCTCTGTCTTCCTTCCTTGCTTGCTCAATTTTTTTTTCCTTTGGTGGGGGTAACATGAAGGAAGCCAAAAGGCAGAAAAGAATAATCCATGGGTTTTTTAAAAAAAATATTTTGCAAGGACACATGGAATAATTATCTGCTATTTCTGCATCTCCCCACCATTCCCCCCCAAGAAACCCCCAAAGCACAGTGGACAAGTAAGCCAACATTGTATTATAAATGCTCAAAGGTGGAATTCCGTCTTTTGGTGTCCGGGTGTATTTTGCATTATTTTGCAGCCTTGATGGTAGCTTTTCTCAGCAAAGCCTGCACAGCTGTCTCAGCGTCAGCAGGCAAGGCAACAACATGTCTGGCAGCATGTGGGGAAAATGTTGTTCGGAATGTACTTCTGGGGACAATTTCCTTTGATACTGTTCTCTGAAGTATCAAAATTGGTTCTTCATCTTTGACAAAGGAAAATGCTCACTCTCAAGCTGTAAGACGCTGAACTACATTTGGGGCGAGAAATGTATTCCTTTGGGAGGAAAGTATTGTAGAGTGAAAAGAACAAAGACTTGGCAGACAGACAGATGTGGGATCGAGTCCTGTATTGACCGCTTACGAGCTGTGCAACCTTTGATGAATTACTAGTTTTCCTAAGCCTTTGTTTTTTCATCTCCGCATGGGGTGGTTCCAGCCATAACACAAGATGGCGTACGTTAGGGTTTGAGTTGGAACTCAATATAGAGTAGCGATTGCTAAGCAGCCTGCTTGGCAGGTGGAAGGGAAAGGAAAAGCTGTAGTCTGATCTAGGCAGAAGTGGGGCAACCTCAGATTTGGAGAATAAAGTATATGTTTGCCATAGAATCCCTGGAAACAGAATTATTCCCATTTTCCTCCATTGTCTAGCTCAGTGGCTCTATAGCCTCATATTCAGACATAGCAAGAAAAGGCCTGTGGCATATACGCCACAATTAGGAGACAGATGGACCAGTCTAGACATTGCTGATTTGGCTCATGGCCCGGCAGTGAGCTCACTGGTATGGTTCTCTGTGTTCTTAATTTTACCCACAAAGGGTTTCGAGTGAACATTTTGCCAGTATGTAACGCGAGAGGTTGAGAGCACCTAGAACCCTAAACAACTGTTTCCTCCACCTCTCCCTCACTCTCTCCTTGTCTCCTTTCTCTTTTAGAAATCATTACCGCCAGAGTGCAGCCATCACAGGAGGAGCACCGAGGACGTGTTACTATACCCTCACCTTTGCTGTCACCTTCCCGCACAGTGAGGATGTCTGCTACCTGGCCTACCACTACCCCTTCACCTACACCACCCTCATGGTAACTTCCTGTTTACGACGTTACCCCAGCGGGACTAGAGGAGCTCCCTGAGGTGGTCCTGCAAACATTCAGGAGACCCTGATGCTAAGGGAGCCAGGGTGTGTTGTCCCTGACTTGATGGTTTTCTCTTTGTCCCTTGAACAGAAGGCTGAGGTCATGACCAATGACATTCTAAAGGCCCAAATGGCACGCGGGGCTCCTCATTGGTGGGTTGAGGGTAGGAGGCGGGACATTTCTTAGGGGCTCTATCTTTAAGGAGCCCTCGAGTTAAACATGATGGAGCGAGATTGGAGGGAGGTTATCAAGTTGAAACGGGGTAAAAGCGTAAGGTAAGCTGAGATGCACGTTGAAAGGGTGGAGACTCATTGAGAGGCGTAAAGCAGAAGGCAGGAAAATGAAGCTCGGAAAACCTCCCTGAGTCCATGAGCAAGCAAACAATTCAGCTTTTCTGGTGGTTCCCATGGCTATGGGCTGGAGGAACAGACAACAAGCATGGAAGGATAAAACACTGAGTTACTGCAATGAGGGCCGTGATTGTTTTAGGAGAGGTGTGTGGTGTAACTCAGTCCAAACTTGAAGTTGGCATTCTCTGTTCTGTCAGCCTCTGCAAAAGGTTCATGAGACAAATTTGCGCAAACTGCTTAAACCATGCAGCTTTCTGTCATTTGCAATAGCTGGCAAACCATCCCTTTCCCCTAGCTATTTCATGGCTATCCTGAGGATTAATGAGCTAATGCATCTTCCATAAAGATCCTCTTTCATCCTCTATGTTAATGCAAAATGCTATTAGCATATTCATAATAATATGTGTGTATATGAGTGTATAGATCACTCACCCTGAAGGATGAGTATTTTCAATTTAAGTCTGTGATAAGGAGTTGGGAAAGATAATAACCAAGAACATCTTTACCTTCAAAAGGAACGTTCAGGTATAAACGAAAATTTTCCCCCCCTCGGTCGACAAGGCGTATCGTAAACCACTTGGTTAACTGCTTCACGGAAGTGCGTCTGCCCTTCTCTCCATATGCTGTCTTGCCTAAAGAGAGATTTTTACTGTTTTCCAGATTGCAAAAGATACACAACGAGTATTATTTGTGTATCACAGTTAGAGATCTCGAGAAGTTAATCCAAGAAATGTGCATCCCAAGCTAGGCTGTAACAAGCTGTGTTTGTTATAAAACATGCTTGTTGCCTGTAGGGACTCAGAAGAGGCAAGATTCATCACCCCCTCCCACAGCTGTTCTTCTTGCCGCACCTGTGAAACACAGCACGTGAAAAGCTGCTGGGGGAGGGGGTTCCTTTGTGAATGCGTGTTGGCCTTTTCCGTGGGGGTACCATCCAGTCAGGTGCCTCCAAGCTGATCAGAAGTCTGCAACGCCTTCAGCCAGGCCTGGGCTTCATCTACATTCTTACTCTGAATTTCAGACTTTGGATCAGCTTGTAGACACTTAGCAAGAACCCATCAGAACATCTGGGGATCAGAATGGGACCATCTTTGGGGAACAGCAGTATGCAGCTAAATTGCACCCATGGTACTCAGCGTTATCGATAACATTCCTGGGTTGATGACTGGAACTCAACCGTCAGAGACGACATGGTCACACAACTCCGTCACCTACACGTATCTATACAAGTGGGCTGCGGTCGCAGTAGCTCTTGTGCCCCTGGGGTCCACTCACCTTTTGTCTTCTTGTCGACCCGTGCACAGGGTTGAAAGTTCACAGGCAACAATAGCTTCGGAGCCCCTGGGGTCCATGGGGGGATAATTTCATCTTGATGGGGGACAACAATACAAGAAAAGAGGACCCCTTCCCCCAGTCAGTTGGCCTCGATGGGAAGAGAAAAGTCTTACGAATCGGTGCTCGTTGGCTTGTTACTCAGCCTGTGCGCTGTGAATCTCTTCCTACAAGAGAAGTTTGAGGAGAGGTAATGAGAAAGAGAGACGAGAATGGGGCACCTTTTCTTTTCTCCTAAATGAGTAGGAAAGAGTAAGAAAGACAATGTGTTACTTGAAAGTGAAAAATGCATATATTCAGTTATAGGTTTTACATTTCCAATAATGTACCGTCTTGACTTCTGTAGGTTTAAGACAAAAATGGACTCTGTGACTGCTCTTAAAAAAGCTCTTCCTCCCATCATGGACAGAATGAGTACATTCTATAATGCACACTTAGTCATTTTTATTTTTGGACATGTCCTAAGGAGAAACAGGTTTTTTTTCTAACAGATCAGTGATAAATTAAATGTGAATGAGACCTCAAGGGCAGTGTTAACTGTATGATACTTGGGGTTTATGCAGAGGGGTAGAAAAATACATTTCTAGGTGGAGTTCACAATTTGTAACTCTCTTCTAACATGGATTATGTTTAGTAATTGCAGGCATTTTTATAGCAGAGGACATATAATGTTGGATGTTTCTCACCATGAATATAATTTTGCAACTTTAAAAATTTTAATCTCTTATAATAAGAGAATTAGTACATTTTTTTTTCAAATTGATATCTTCCAGATGCTTGCCAGCAATTCTGTTGGATAATTATCCAAATTAGAGTATTAAAATAAAGCCAAAAGAAGGAAATACAATATTATTATAATTATGAACCAAGCAAAACTTCTGTTGTAATCATCCGTATCAAGCTATCGGTAAATTGCAATAACTGTTAAAGTGTTGTTAGCAATACGTGTTAAAGTATTCGGAGTATGTTGTGGATTGCCCCTGGAAAGCCAATAGTATTGGTTGAAAATAGGGCTGCAGGAGAATTTCTGATGGACATTTCAGGGGGTAAGAAAACGGGATCTCACAGAGAACTTATAACTGTGTGAGTTGTCATGAGACGAGAAACGTGATCGTTAAGTAGGATCCATCTGTTGGGACAGCTTAAGGATCTCAAAGGGTAGAGTAGGGTTTTTCACCAGACTTACATCCCTCTTGGGGGAGATGCTACCACTGTTATCTTCAGAGATGAAATGGTGTGTGGTGTAGGGGAAGAAGGCAAGACGGAGAGGGTTTCCAGAGAGAGCAGAAACGAGAGAATTAGGATGCTGGATGCACAATCTCTTAGAAAGGGCTCCGAATGAATAAAGAGTTTAAAATGTGTCAAATGGGGAATGTTGACTAACCTGTGGCAGATCAAAGATGCAGCGAGCAAGTCATAAATCAGTGCTGTCAGGTAATCAATAGACAGACCTATCCTTGTTTGGGTCCACACAGAGAACAGGCACCAATCAAGGGTCCTGGTGTTGAGGAGGTGACATGGAAGGCCATCCCGTAGGTGTCGGGATGTGCAGGAATGGTGGACCCATGGATCACAAGAGCCCTGAATTCAGGGGTACTCTCTTGAGCACAAGAAAAGAACAAGTTTGGGAGTCAGCCAGGCCTGGATTTGACTCTCAGCTCTGTTTTCTTGCCCTGTAGCCATGGGCAAGCTACTTAACTTCTTAGCACCTCAGTTTTCTCACCTGTAAAAGCAAAAATACAAAAGTGGTTACTACACGGGCTGTTATGAAGATTAAATAACTTGATACATGAAAAGTTTTAGCTAAGTGTCTATATTAGTAAGCCATAGTAGGTGGTAACCATTGGAGCATTTATTCTCTCTTTTTTTTTATGATGATATAATCATTTTTCTCCATTGGACTGATTGGAAAATACCCATCCCATAATTTATAATACAGTTAAAATTATGTGAAAAATCCCAATGAAGGACAAAAAAGAAATAAATGCTCCTGATGGTGGTTAAAAAAAATAACCCAGGGCCGGCCGAGTGGCGCAATGGTTAGGAACTGGCTTGGGACGCCAGAGGGCTCCGGTTCGGATCCCACATATGAGGGCCAGTGACACTGCCCTCTACAGCTAAGATGCTGAACAACAGCTCAACCTGGAGCTGGGCTGCCGTGAGTCGCTGGCGACAGCGTAGGCTGCAGCCCCTGTGGCAGTGGGTTGCCATGGGCTACCATGTGTAGCCAGCAGGCAGCGTGAGCGGCCAGCGGCCAGCAGCCGCAATGAGCGGCCGTCCAGAAGCTGGTGACTGATCTGCCTCGCCCGGGAAGAGCGCAATGATGGTGCCAACTTGGGCCAGTGAAAGCAACGTCCTCTACAACTAGACTGAAGAACAAAAGGACAGCAGCTTGTCTGTTCCCCTTCCCTCAATTCCCCAATAAAAATCTTTAAAAAAAAAATCCACCCAAATAAAGGACTACAAAGAAATAAATAATGATGGTTGTCTTAGGGTGGTTGATTATAATTATTGTTTCTTTGCTCTCTTTTTCAAGTCATCAGCAATATAACTTCATTTATTTTTAATGGAAAAAGGATATTAAAGTCATCTTTCCATTGTAATCAGCAAATCTGTGAGTAGACACCTAAAGACTACTTATTTCTTTCACTTCTTGAAGTGAGTCCATTGAACATGGGGAGAGTGGTATTGGCAGACTGAGGCAGTTGGAGGATGCTCATTATAGATTAAGCTGATAGGATGTTCTGTTGCTTTTATTTAGTTTAAAGACTTAGTTTAAAGGTGTCATTGGTTCTTCTCTTGCGATGAGGAGGCTTCGATGCTCTGATGGGTGACAGTGATAAGTGACAACTGAGAACTAGGCAGTACACAAATAAAATGGGCCATCTCCTTAGGGGTACGCTTTCTTCTAAATTGGGGAGACAGAGAGTGTAGCTGATTAGGCATTAACAATAAGAAACGGTTTCTGAGTGTACAGTGCTGATTTTATCAGTAGCCGTGAGCAGGGTAACCTGCTGAGGTCAAGTACAATCTTTTATGGAAGTTTTAAGGGAACAGTTAATAAGGGGGGTGGGTAGAAGACTCCTGTGGAGAAGCAACAGTGAGGCAGTAGGTGAGGTTATCAGCCAGATACCTTTCATGAACAGGTAGGATTTTCTTTGGCGAAGACAATCTCTCTGGCGGGGGCAGGGCGTGTGTTTCTGTAGTTGCCTTGAACTCATCCCCATATTTATAAAGAAATCCATCCATGTGGTTTCAGCAGGG